GTACTCTCAGGCACTCCAGTGATATTTTGTACCCCCTGGGCTGCAGGTACTCTCAGGCACCCCCAATGATATTTTGTACCCCCTGGGCTGCAGGTACTCTCAGGCACCCCCAGTGATATTTTGTACCCCCTGGGCTGCAGGTACTCTCAGGCGCCCCCAGTGATATTTTGTAACCCCTGGGCTGCAGGTACTCTCAGGCACCCCCAGTGATATTTTGTACCCCTGGGCTGCAGGTACTCTCAGGCACTCCAGTGATATTTTGTATCCCCTGGGTTGCAGGTGCTCTCAGAGACCCCAAGTGATATTTTGTAGCCCCCTGGGCTGCAGGTACTCTCAGGCACCCCTACTGATATTTTGTAGTCTCCTGAGCTGCAGGTACTCAGGGACTCCTAGTGATATTTTGGAGCCCCCTGAGCTGCAGTACTCTCAGGCACCCCCAGTGATATTTTGTACCCCCCTGAGCTGCAGGTACTCTCAGGCACCCCTAGTGATATTTTTACAAGGGAAAAAAATAAAAAAATATTAAATACTGTTACATTGTTAATTACAATTAAAATTTAAACATTTGCTTTGCGAAATTTCTTGGAAATAAATTTCTCCAAAACATCAGTATATTGCAAGTTTAGTTATGTGCATAAAAGGTTATGTTTTAACACAATAACACACTGGCAAAATCCACATCATTAATTTTAAACTTATTTCAGTCATCATTAAAAAAAAAGGTAATATGAAAACTATATAAAAAGGACAGTAGGCCTTTGCCGCTAGGCTTGACAGGTTGACACAATGACACTCGGCTATAAGGTTTTAGCAAACCAAATAACATCTATCTGCCTTATAGGGATCCATTTTTAAATCTCTAGCAAAAATTATCATATATGTAATGTAATAACATACTATAATTATAAACTTACAGGAGTAACTGTCATCTCTGTAATCTCTGGAGGCCCTCCAGCTGGTGGAGGACCCTGGGCTGCAGCCCCTAAAACCCATGTCTTAATCCAGCCCTGCGTGGAGGTATAATCTAATCAGCCTGGTTAGACAGTAACCATCCTCAGTGGTATAGTCCAGTCAGTCTGGTTAGACAGCAAGCATCTATGAAAGCAATGTAATTTTTTTGATAGCCATTCACGGTTGGATATCCTGGACTGGAAGGTCATGTCAGCCTTTGTATCCTGGACTGGAAGGTCAGGTCAGCCTTTGTATCCTGGACTGGAAGGTCAGGTCAGCCTTTGTATCCTGGACTGGAAGGTCAGGTCAGCCTTTGTATCCTGGACTGGAAGGTCAGGTCAGCCTTTGTATCCTGGACTGGAAGGTCAGGTCAGCCTTTGTATCCTGGACTGGAAGGTCAGGTCAGCCTTTGTATCCTGGACTGGAAGGTCAGGATCATGCTAGCATGAGGGTTGAGGGCGAGCTGTGGGATTCCCACAGACAGGAATCTGAACCCTAAGAGCAGGATATCGTAATGTGTGTTGTGTTCCATCCCAGCCTGACCTACCCAAAGATACTCAACCATAACACACAATCACCAGCATGAACAAACTTAAGTAGATATTACACTCGCACTAAGATAATAGTTTTGTCTTTGTTTTCCTTATAAACTTAATATTAAATCAAAACAAAATAGCTGTTGTGACACGAGGTGTGGACCTGAGCATCTTTCATTGAATGATATTTTTTTTTATTATCATTGTACTTGTCAGTGAGTTGGCTTTTTAATTTTTCTAATTTGGCATCGTTTTTTTAAATTGGTGGGTAATACCAGAATGGGATGTGATGGGGCTTTAGTATCTTTGTTGTAGATATATGTCTTTACATGCCTTCCAGTTTTCAGCATTTATATGCAGCAGTTATGTTCCTGAAATTGGTGCTTTATATAAAGAAGCCTCTGTATCAGACACACTATACATGAAAAGGTTAGGTTCACACCACCTCCAAGGCCATATAAGTGTTTTAAATGTTTATTTCATCAAACATAATATGATTTTTTAATACCTTACATTGTAGATGTTGTTGCTTGTTAACCACCATCTATCAGCACCTACTGGCACTATCACCACCTGACACCAGAGGCAGATCTATGTAACTAATGAGGCTTAAGCTTCAGGGACCCTAATCCTGAAGGGGCCCCAGAAGCGACTTTAGTCCACATTGCTTAAAAATTTTGGATCTACTGTGTGAGAAGGGGCTGCAAAGGGGTCCTCATAACAGTTCAAGCTTCAGGGCCCCAAAAATGTAGGTCTGCCACTGCCTGATACTGTCACTTATGACAGAAATATTTCATATTGTAGCTACTACCACTTCCACTAGGTCTACTCTCCTGATTTCTAAAGCCTTATCATACCTCTTCTTAAAACTTTGTATGAATTCCACCTCAACCACTTCACTCACCACTTCCTGACAACTCGAAAGCTGAAGAAATGCTTCCTAACATCCCTTTGACTCATCTGAGTTTTCAACTTCCAGCTGTGCCTTCCTATTACCCATCTCTGAAACATTCTGTCTCTGTTCACCTTGTCAATTCCTCTCAGTATTTTTAACATCAATATATTTACCCCTAGTCCTCCTGTCCTCCAGTGTTGCCATAGGACATACCCCTTAGCTCTGGGATTAGTCTTGCTGCAAACCCCTGCACTTTTTCCAATTTCTTGATGTGTTTGACCAGGTGTGGGTTCCATACTGGTGCTGCATACTCAAATATGGGCTGATGTACACAGTGTAGTGTTATAAATGACTCTTTACTTATATGTAAAAATGCTATTCTTAGATTTGCCAGACACACATTTGCTGCAGCAAGTACCTACTTAGTTGATGTACACTTTGGGATATGCTCAGTATGATACTCGCCCCAAGGTCCTCCTCTTTGAGTGAGGTTACTCCATCTCCAGTCTTCTTTGTCCCTCCCCAAGCTTCATAACTTTGCACTTGGTGGGGTTAAATTCCAGAAGCCATTTGTCAGACCAGGCCTGTAACCTTTCTTGGTTCTCGTCCACTTGTATTCTCATTATTTTTATGTTGTCTGCAAACAGGTATACAGTACAACCCCCGTATCCATGGATTCAATATCCAAAGTTTCAGTTATCCAGGCAGGTTTACTGTGGCCCAAAAAACAACTCTTAATTTTGCTTAAAAATGGCCCCAGAGCACAACAATAGTGATGCTGGCAGTTCTTCAAAGCCTACCAGAAGCTGTGAAATGCTTGCCATCAGGGAAAAAAGTGCTAATTATAGACATATTTTGCTTAATTTATCAATTAAACTTTATCATAGTTATGTATGCAAACAAAAATGACTTGTATATAGGGTTTGCAACTATCCACAGTTTCAGGTATTCACTGTAGGTCTTGGAATGTATCCCCCACTGATAAGGGGGGACTACTGCACCTCTGACTCTGCCTTCTGTCATGTTGTCCACATATATAAGAAACAGACCATACCACAGGTGGGGATAGAACCCACGATCAGACTCTCTCTGATCGCGGGTTTTATCCCCGCCCATGGTATGGTTTGTTTGCAATCGTGTCATTACGATTTCGTGAGTCATATAAGAAACAGCACTGGCCTTAGGCCTGATCCTTGTGGAACCCCACTCGTCACATGCATGCATTTCCTGTTGCAGGCATTGTGAAGTTTTCGTGTGTGTGTATGCGTGTGCGTGTGCGTGTGCGTGTGTGTGTGTGTGTGTGTGTGTGTGTGTGTGTGTGTGTGTGTGTGTGTGTGTGTGTGTGTGTGTGTGTGTGTGTGTGTGTGTGTGTGTGTGGTCTTGCAATTTGGGTTTAAGATATGATCTTTTTTTTTTTACATTTATCCATCTGTGTACACCTACCATCCGACTTACGACCTGCTTGACATATGACCACTCGACTTGCGACCTTGTTTTCTATGCCAAATTTCTGGGAAATAAACAACTGTTTGTGTTGTACAGTGTTTATCCTAAACCTTACAGTATAAAATACAGTACTAACAGCATAAAAAGTAAAAAATGAAATACCAAAATAAAACAATAAAATAAAGTCATTACAAAAATGTGATGTTGATACTCAGTAGTAAGGTTCGACTTGCGTCCATTTCGACTTACGACCAGTTTGTCGGGAACTGAACTCGTTCGTAAGTCGGATGGTACCTGTATTTGAAAGCTAATTTAGTTTATTATTTACTGATATGCTATTTTATGGTTTATTATTTACCTACACACTGTATTTGATTTTCTGGTGGCAAATTTTTGTTAATAGTAACTCAGGACCTCTCTCTCTCTGATAATTTCATAATTTCCCTCTTATTATTTCATAATTTCCAGGCATAAATTATGATGCATCTTTCTCATTTGCATTCCAAGGAGTACAGTCAAGGGATTTTGAACATTCCCTGTAAATTAGGTAACTGAATGAACTTGTACGTGCAGTGAAGGTTCTCTGTACATACTGTGAATCTGCGGTTTTGCCCACTTTAATGGGGGCTGTTAATGTACAGCAGTATTCCAGCCTTGAGAGGACAGTCATTCTTCATCTGACTTGGTTAATTTTCCCAGCTTAGTGCACATCACTTGAAATAAAAACGAAGTGAAATATTTCATTCAAAATATCTATTGCCCAAATCTCTTGTTTTGGTTATGCATTTCTTAGGAAATGTTGACATAACTAAGAGTGAAATTTAACGAGATTTTGTGAAAAAAAAAATAGTGTGCCTGTGATATGTCACCGGCTTTGAGGAAATGGTCATTAACCCTTAAACGGTCCAAACAAATCGGCGTTCAAATTCGTAGTGCTACAAAAGTAGATCTACTTTTTTTTTACACATTTTCAAATGTAAAACAAAAAAAAAGATTACATTTTTTTACATACTTTCAGATGTTGAAAAAACGTATATATATGTTTGGACCATTTAAGGGTTAATCAGGGCAAAACGTGTGGCTCCAACACATGTAGTCACTAATGAAATTCACTAAGCAAACACTCATTGAGAAGGGGATGACAGTACTAATCTCTAAATTTTTTATTCTAGCAAATATGAACCCGGCGGAACTCAAGAAACTGCGTTCGAAACAACGGAAAGCAGCCAAAAAAGCAGAGCAAAATAAAGTGGAAGAAAAGAAAAAAGAAGAAAAGAAAGCTGAACACCATAAAGCGAAATCTGGAGGAAATACGGTATGAACCTGTATATGTTTGTTGTGCTGTACAAGTCTTTTTTACATTGTATAATTTCATTGCAGTGCCAATAGCCTTTGTAAAAAAAAATATTGAAAGTTGATATAATTGTGGTGTATACAGTCTTATAAATACTGTATTGTACATGTTTTATCACCATTTCTTTTCAGGATGACTTGGATAATCAACCTGCGGAAGATTTAGACCCCAGTAAGCTGGAACGGACTGAGGATCCATTAGGTGAAGCTATTCATTTCTTGAAGCCACTTCAATCTTTAGCACCCAATAGAATCCAAACTCACTTAATGGCCTTTGAAATTTATCTACGAAAAGGCAAGCCACTACTCATGCTACAGGTAATTAAAAAACTAATACTGTATATAAGAAGTGGTTTTTGATTTATCACTTTTGTAATGTGCAATTTTTATTAACATTTTCACAGTCCAGATCCCCTGAATTAAAAGTGCTTGCAGTGTCCACATTTAAAAAAAATTCTTTTGAAATAGTAGAATTTTTTAATGAGGGGTAATGACACCAAAAATACAAAATTTGATTGAAAATTTCCATAATTATGCAGGTGCAAAGTTAACACTCTGAGACCAATTTATACATTAGCAGTTTTGCCGAATTTGTGTCCCATTTTAAGCTAATTCCATTGCTCAGTTCATCTAAATTCTTGACTATTTTGCTAGCTTGTCTTGTGTTCTATCAGTATAGCACAAGAAACTGCCCCTTCAACCAATTTGTCCAAATTTACACAAGGTTCAACAAATTCTAATTTAAAAACAGGCCAAGATAGACCATAGGTATTACAACCACTAAAGCAACCTTTCCTCTGTTCACTAATCACATCCCCAGTGTCTTCATTTTGAAAGATAGGGAGATGTTGCAGATCATTTGGTCATAGGAGTATCATGTCCAGGCACTTACAGAAAGACATCTAGAGAGTAGGTGATAAATGCATTTTCTTCTCTTGGCCCTCCCAGTCTTTATGGAAAATAACTGATGTATTTAAAAAATGTATTTGGATTGTCTGCATCATTGGCAGCTGTCACCCTTCACTATACATTTTTTGTATACCTAGATTATCTTATATCCATATAGATTTTGACTTTGTTCTCAAGAAGCCACTTTTATTTTCAGACCTTAAGAATTTTTTCCTGTTGTTTTTCAGGCACTTAAAAGAGCACTAAAACTGGAACCTTCCAACCCTGAACTCCACACGTGTTTGATACGATTCTTGCAATATAGACAAGAAAAACTTAGCTCTCAATGTGGGACCATCGTGGATGTTATTAATAGGGAAGTGACCAGACTTCTTCCAACAACAGATCATAATAAGCTTAATGAAGATTTCTTAAATAATAATCAAGAATCTCTCCCACACAGACTACAAGGTTTGCTCATATTTATGTATAGTAAACATAGGTTAATATGTATATTAAAGAAAATGGGAATAATTGTTTTAACATGTTTATTGTTCACATTGATGTTAAACTTTATATCCTCCTGAAGGATAGTGTATAAAAAAAGAATTCTGATTAATAGGACAAGAGAGGAATTATACAGGCCTTAATCTGCCAACCCCATGTGGCTTTCCTCATAATAGTGGTGTTGACAAAGGCTTGCACAGTTTCTCCCTCCCTGATATTGTTATATTGGCATTAGTATGAAATTTTTGTTTCTGTTTTCCAAATTAATCACCACATGGTACTGCATGCTTACAACTTTCATGAGTTATTTAATCTTTTAAGATCTTGCTGAAACCATCAGAGGCTTTTATTTTGACATTTTCTTTTTAATTTTCCCAAAACTCATTAGCAATGTGGTAACCATGTCATGTTGCCAAGGAAATAATTACATTTCTAAGAAAAGAAATTTGAATTAGTCACCATACTTGTCATTCACTATATGATGGGAGGAAACTGTTGGACTGCCACTGTTTTAAGATCATGTCTTCCAGCCCTGAGTTACAAACATTGGAATCTAAAATTCATGTTTGTGCTCTCACATATAACAACAGAGCAGTCAGTGCATAAAAGAAAACCCAGAGGAAAATATTGTATCCTTTAAAGACAAGCAATATGCTTACTTGTGGAGCAGCTGAAATCTGAGAAGCAGTTATTGAATGTCATCACAAGTTCAAAAAATCAAGCAAAGAAGCTAGAGATAGTTCTGAAGAAATAGATAAAGCTGCCATTAAAGCTCATATAGAAGACGAGAAAACCCTGGAAATTTTGGTTGAGGTCAATGAGGACAGGTTAATAAAAAAAAGTGCAATTAAAAAAAAAAGTCATCTCAAAATCATCAGATCTTCTCAAATCTGTGTTAGGTGAAGCAAGAGGAGCAGAAACTTCAAGGCAGCTTTGGCAGGGTCATCAGAGGAATACAATTTCATAATGGACCTATAAAATAAGCTGGAGAGATAAAAGGAAGAAATGCACAAACTTTGGCAAAACTGTTGATAGCTTATGTCAGTGAGGCAACTTTAAAATTCTAAGCAGCAGCATGGAAAAGATGATTATTTGAGGTATGTCTAGAGCTGAAAATATTAGAGGTGCAAGATAAGAAAACACATGAGCAATAAACATCAATGACAGTTAGTGTCAGAAGCTTAACCATAGGTTCTTTGGGAATCCTTAAGAAAAGAAAAACCATGTAAGCCTCCATCATAAAGCAGCACCAGGAGGAGAAGTCTGCCCACCATTATGGACAGCTGAAGAAATGTGAACGCTTCTGTAACATGCACCTTAGCTGACCTGACATTTTACACCTCGGTTACTTACCAGGCTTGGGCAACTGCTGTGACAGTTGCACACTTGTACATCTCAGCTGTTTATGCTATTGTACCAGTAAGTAGGAATTCCTCATAAACATTTCAAACAAATGTATTAAGCCAGCTTTCCAGAATCTCTTCATAGATAATATCCTGTTCACAATTCAGCATGTATACACGTGCATACCTCTGCTTGTACTCCTAGATACAATATGTGGTTTATATTTTCATTATTAAATACAGTATATATTGTGTACTTAACAGATGTTATCGTTTTCGTCATGCAGTAATACTGATTTATACACTATTAAGTGAAATGCCAATTTAATTTACAGCTGCCCGTTCAATGGTGCTTCTGGATGGTGTACAACGTGAGCGTGCCCTTTCCATTGCTACAGTTCTTGATTCACATCTAAATGACAGAACTCATGAGGTATGTTTAAACACAAATATTTCCAGTTATGTTTTGTGTACAAGGGGCTTAGGCATACAGCATGCACATGTGAGCCTGTTAGATTGGAGTGAGTGGAGAAGTATGGTTTTTAGGACTTGACAAGCTGTGGGAGTGTGAGCAGGCTAATATTTTGTGAAGGGATTCAGGGAAACAGGTTAGCCAGCCTCAGATCCTGGGGAAATGTTGAATAATCTTTCCTCTCTAGGCCATGCTTGTTGTAAGAGGCAACTAAAATGCCAAGGCATATTTTTTTTTTTTCATTGTAGAAGAATATAAGGTATATGTGGGTAGGCAACAGCCATGTTTTTCCTTATCTCTTCACCACTGTTATCCCATAAATATACATTAACACATCAGTCACATAGAGCATTACATGTATAGGTTTCTGGAAATGACTAAGAGATACTGCCTATGTATTACATGTGTTCATTGTATAAGAAAATGATTGCTTTGCATATTATATAAGACAAAGCATTTATCACAGCTCAGAATGTGCTATGCATTCCACACATAAACTTTATTAATTTATTTTTTTCATTAACCTATTTACTATCATGACTTCCCACCAAAGCAGGGTGACCCAAAGAAGAAAACACATTCACCAACATCTACTCAGTTGCCATCTTTCCAGAAGTTTGCTGACATCACAGTAAGATTATTGGGATAGTTTTTTCACTTGTGATGTGATTAGATTGCTATGTAATTTTTCAGTTTGATGTTTATAGTTTTCTTTTAACCAACAGAACATGCAGCAAGTATTAGAATGGTTGGAATCACGTGAGTTTGTAGCCACACCAGAGCAAGTTTGTCACTATAAAGCACAGTGCCATGATATCTATCCTCGTGCCCGGGCCTTCTGTCCCCCTCAGCCAGCATCCACTTCCTCAACAAGTGATTCTGCTAGTGATTCTACTACTACAACTACTTCCACTACTACTACTACTAGTATCACTACTACTACCATTACCACAACATCCTCTACAGCCAACCATAATCATGTGGATTCACCCAGCAGCTGAAATTCATTGCAAGTTCCCAGCATTAGACTTTTGCAGACTGCAGGGTTCTTCTAAGTGATGTCAACACCAGGATGCCGTGATATTGCAAAAAGAAACTAACCTTGAAAATTATATTAAAATGTTCTAAACTGTCAAGCCTCAGTAACTCAAATTTCTCTTAAGAAAAGAACTAGTGAAAGCATATGACATAGTTGAGCTAAAATAATCCTGGTAATGAATATAAACAGTATACACCTATACTTGGGCAGACATTATCATGGTCATTAAAGGCAGTTAATATTGTTTTGTTTGGTTAAATATTGAGCTTTATCTCATACTTGTATCATATATTTACACATTACATTAGAATCATTCATAATACTGCTTTGTTAAAGAGTTTGAAGTTGCTTTGTTGTTAAACAAACATTAGCATGACTACTACAGTTTTATATGTACAGTTAACAGATGTTTAATTCATTAGTAGTCATCTTAACAATTTTTATACCTCCACAGTTCCTGTCATGAATGCTTAAGTTGAACATCATTTTATCTGAAAGGAAATGGGTTATTTATAATTAAGTAAACATTTATTTCTTATTGATTAATGCCTTTTATGGTGTTAATATATTATTCCAGATGTTATTGAAGTAGTCATCCCTACAAGGCATATATAAACTTAATAAGTGGCAGTCAAGACTGGAAGTTGGTGTTTAGTCCATATTTCCTACTGGTTGCCACATTGAACTGAAGGCAGAGCTCAGTATCCTGTCCTTCAAATTTTATTCTTCAATAATGAAAATTTTTATCCAATATATCAATAACCCAAGGAAATTTGTTGGCCATGTGTGGCTTGCCTCAAAACTGAAAGTATTTTTTTGAAAATTATAGTTTTCCTTTAGGAATTTGTAGGAGTGACATTTAATGGTATGGTTCTTTGAACATTGTGCACTTTATGAAGATTAGTTTTGGGCTGTTTTTATATGGGTGCATTCCATAATTGTAGTTGAATGTAGACTCATTTTTCTCTAAACAACTGTTAATTATGTGCCTTTGTATTCCTCTAATTCTGTTCATTGCCTTCAAAGTGCCCAGCCATTAATAACTGCTCCTGCATATTGATTCTCATTGTTGGAATTTGGAAGGTGTTATAAACATGTTGCCAATTATTAAATCAAACCTCACATGAATGTCCCTCTTTGGCTCCATATTGTAGCAGCCAGTGTTTGGCCTAATTTTTACCCTTCAACCCCCCCCCTCCCACTGCTTATTTTTTTTTTTATATGCTGTTATGGTCTTGATTCTGAAATAACACTTGGGTAATTAATATATTGACTTGCAAATATCAGTATCATATTTTAAAAGAAAAACCCTCCTACTTGTTAATTCATGTCATGTGATGCTCAATTTTCAAATATGGATAGAGTGACTCGGTGATACTTCAGAAGCTAGGCCTGTGCCAGTACTGTATATAAGTGAGAGTTTGAATTCCATCAAGTTGTTAACAAGGAAGTGACGAGTATAGGGTTTTTGGCTGCAATACTTAAAATTATTCTGCTTATTGTTAAAAAATAGCCACTACCATAATCAGTTTTGCTCACTTGCATTACCCATTACTGGCATTAATGGGTAATAATGCATTCAAGTATGTACATAGATGATGATGATGGCTTTGCCATGTTATGATGATAGGCAATATAATTCTGACAATATCAGGGTTGGACTTACCTTTATCAATATTGTCTCAGAGTATTACAGGAAGAGTATTCACCCGCACTTGATATAGGATCTCAAAAGGAATCAGTCATGCAGTATGCTAATTACCAATTTAAAATTTTCATCTAGTGATAAAATGGGTGTCTAGCAAGCCTTTAGAAATGCACTGAAGATCCACCTCTGTATGTCAGTTGTTAATCTCTGCTTACTTTATGGCTTTTGTAATTACCTAAAAATTGATATGCATATATTACAGCCAGAAACTCTATAACATTGGTTTGCAACTGGATTAAGACTGGCTCTCCTAACATTAATTTGAATGTTATTAAAATTATTATTATTATTAAAATGACTGATTCTTGGCTGTAAAAGAAATGGCTCAAAAACTTTTGAAGACTTGATAAAAAAAAAATTTGTTAACTGTAGCAAAAGTGATCCAGGACTTTTAAACACGTCAGAGAATAAGCCATTCATAACAATTAGTGTTGAATAATATCAGATAAAAAGGGACTTTGACTGCTGCCTTTATGGTAAAGGTGGAGTGATATTGTTATGCATTTAAAATACAAGGGAGAATGCTTAGCTATTGGTTTACAATATTCAGTAATTTATTTGGACTTCATATGTTATCTAATGTAATAGTGTGTGGTTTTGGTAAAGGTACTGCAATATAATTTGAATTTCAGATAAAATATACACTACAGATGGAAAATTTGTATTAAACATAGACATAGTAACCTGCAGAGAAAATTGCACAATTTAATCTGGACAGGGAAACTAGTATGAAATTCACATTTACACAGGAGTCAGATAGTGAATTATGACCCTAATTGTCAGCTTTACTTTTATATTATAAGATGTAGGTTTTACATCATAGTGGCTGATGGGGTTAAGGGTCACTCAGTATACTAGACTGTATAATACCCAATTATATTCCATTTGCTAAGAATGTACAGGTTTGGTTGTTGCATAGTTATGGTTCAGCTAGTCACAAAGGGGATTTTTTTTTTTTTTTTTTTTTTTTTGAGCAAGTGCTTTCATTTCTTCGCCAGATTTGTATATATCATTTTCTAAAGGAAAAAAAAAAAAGCAAAGAGTTGCCTGAACATTTTGTACTTAGCTACCACAGTGCACTGTATACTCAGCCAACTTGTTCAGTCATATATTTTCCCTCGGGTAAAGAAAGCATCCTTGTTATTACGTTTTATGGACCTCCTCATTATTTTGCTTATTGAGGGGAAAACCCTGAACAAAGTTGAAGGAACCTTCATGATTCCAAAATGTTTGTACAGATTATGAAAGAACATGGGTAGTTTCATTAAGAGACAGAATTCACTGTGCATGTGCTCCTTGTCACTATTTGTTTTTAACAGGTTAATTTCTCATTAGGTTGTTTAAAAATGAGATAATGAAGTAAACATATTGTATATTATATAATTGATATATTATGAGCCTCAGGTGATACGAGTCAAGGGCACTGTATGTACATGGATTGTTGAGTGTGAGTTGCCTGCCTGGGTACCACCCTATTTTGATACATTTTTCAGTGTCATTATATATAGGCAGAGGACCCTGAGAATGGGGACTTGAAATAAATCTAAACCTGTAATGTGTCTTTATCATTATACATTGTTTTGTTCTCAGCCAGCCTCCACTTACTCAACCATAACCATGGATTTGCCCAATTGCTAAAATGCAGTGGCTCTATAACCCCCCCCCCCCCCCCCCCATCCTTCCCTAGCTGTGGAAATCTGCCATTGTTCTCTTTCCACAAACTGGGTGCTATGGGACATGATGCCTCTCATTATCATTCCATTCCTCTTACCAGTGCAGTTTGCAAGGTGATGGAACATCTGGTAACTAGACATTTGATGTGGTATATAGACACACAATAGTCTCTCCACTAGTCAGTATGGCTTTCATAAGGGTTCTACCATTGACCCCTTACTACCCTTGGATACATATGTTTGTGATGCCTTTGTCAATAACCACTAAGTTATCGCAATCTTTTTTGACCTTGAGAAGGCATTTGGAGGTATAACATCTTGGCCCTGGCCCACTCCTTAGGCCTCCGAGGCAATCTACCATTTTTCCTTAAGAACTCTTAACTGAGAGACATTTCTGTGTTTGGGTTAATAATATGCCTTCCCTGGACTGTCCAAGTTGAAGGTGTGTCCCAGAGATGTGTTTGGAGCACAACACTTTCTCCTTGCTATAAATGATCTGGCATTTATTCTTCCATCTAATATTTGATCATCGCTATATGTTGACAGCTTTGCTATAGTTATGCAGACGCTGACTGTCGCCTCATTGCAGTTTCTCTCCAGCATGCGGTCAACTGTGTTTCCAATTGGGCCACTACTTGTGGATTTTAATTTTCTAGTGCTAAAACTCCTAATTACTCTCACTAGACATTCTGTCATCTGATCATCCATTGTACCTCTATGGCTCGTTATCCCAGAACGTGATCCAGTCAGGTTTCTTGGCCTTCTGTTTGACTGTCGTTTATCCTGGAAACCTCTCATTACCTCTCTGGAGGCAACTTGTCATAGCCGGCTGAACTTACTTAAAACCCTCGCTCATCTTTCATGGGGGCTGATTGTTTAACTCTCCTTCAACTACACTCAGCCCTAATATTATTGAAACTTGATTATGGTGACCAGATATATTCAGTGGCCTCTCCTGCAACTCTTTCTAGCCTTAATCCCATCCATCACCAGGGATTATGTTTATGCCTCAGTGCTTTTCACTCTTCACAGTTGAGAGCCTCTATGCAGAGGGGAATATTCCATCCTTGACCAATCGCTGTGATGCTCGTTACCCTCGCTATTATGTTCGCTCTCACGACCTCCGCAATCCTTCCATATACAGTGGATCCCCGGATATCGGCCAAATCAGATTTCAGCCGCTTTTTTGGCCGAAATTCTATCCTGGATATCGGCCGGCAACTCGGATATCTGCCGTATTGGATGCGTCCACCCACCACTCTGCCACGTTCATGAGTCAGTCTGGATGAGTGAGCAACACTCTGCTCATTCATCCAAACATTTCGTTATAATCCATTGTTTTTTGTGGTGGTTTATTGAGTGCAACTGCGAAAAAGCCACCATGGGCCCAAAGAAAGTTCCTAGTGCCAGCCCTTTGGTAAAGAAAGTGAGAAACACGATATAATTCAAGAAAGAAATTGTAGCAAAGTACGAAAGTGGTGCACGTGTGCTCCAGCTTGCCAGGATGTATGGGAAGTCGAAATCAACAATCACTTCATCCTGGCAAAGAAAGTAGAAATCAAGGAAGCTAATGTTGTGAAAGGGGTAAATATGCTAACGAAACAAAGATCACCAATAATCAAAGACGTGGAGAAGTTATTATTGGTGTGGATCAACGCTAAACGATTAGCATGAGATAGTGTTGCGGAGTCGATCATTTGTGAAAAGGCAAGGCGGTTGCATCTGGATCTCACAAAGAAAATGTCTGGAACGAGTGCTGCTGTTAGTGAATTTAAGGCCAGCAAAGGCTGGTTTGACAGATTTAAGAAGCATAGTGGCATACACAGTGTTGTAAGGCATCGTGAGGCTGAAGAATTTGTGCATGAATTCAAGGAGTACGTAGGGGCTGAAGGATTCATCCCCCAACAAGTATTCAATTGTGATGCAACAGGCCTCTTTTGGAAGAAAATGCCAAAGAGGGCCTACATCACGCAGGAGGAAAAAGCATTGCCAGGACACAAGCCTATGAAGGATAGGCTTACTCGTTTGTTCTGTGGTAATGCTAACGGAGATTTCAAAGTGAAGCCTTTACTGGTGTATCACTCTGAAAATCCTAGTGTGTTCAAGAACAATAATGTTGTCAAGAGTAAATTGTGTGTGTTGTGGAAAGCTAATAATAAGGCACGAGTCACAAGGCAAATTTTCATTGACTGGGTTCATGAAGTGTGTGGCCCGAGTGTAAAAAAATGCCTCGTGGAAAGTAAATTGCCACTCAAGTGCCTCCTGGTACTGGACAATGCTGCTGGCCGTGGGTTCAATCCCGCCCGTGGTATGGTTTGTTTGCAATCGTGTCATTACGATTTCGTGAGTCTTGGTAGACCACTTGTCTATGGAGTTAAGTTTTATAACAGTGAATTTCTTCCCTCCTAACACCACTAATCTCATCCAGCCCATGGACCAGCAGGTCATTTCTAACTTCAAAAAACTCTACATGAAAGCAATGTTTCAAAGGTTCTTTAAAGTGACCTCGGACACTGATTTGACCCTAAGAGAGTTCTGGAGGAATCACTTAATATCCTCCACTACATAAGCCTTATAGGTAAGGCTTGGCAGAGAGTGACTTCCAGGACTTTGAACTCTGTTTGGAGAAAATTGTGGCCAGAATGTGTCCTCGACAAGGATTTTGAAGGGTTTGAGGCTGACCCTGACCCTGTCAACCCTATGCCTGTTGTGGAATCTATTGTGTCTTTGGGGAAGTCCATGGGGTTGGAGGTGAGTAGCAAGGATGTGGAAGAGTTGGTGGAGGACCACAGGGAAGAGCTAACCACTGAAGAGCTGCAAGACCTTCATCTGTAACAGCAACAGACCACAGCTGAGGAAATTGCTTCAGAGGAGGAGGAAGAGAGAGGGAAGAATGTGCCTTCAGTGATTAATGACTTGTACAAAGTGGAGCGAGTTGCAAAGTTTTGAGAAATATCAGTGACGAAACTTGTCCCACTTCATGTAAATCTTAAGAGATGCCAGAAGCAGATCTCTCTGGACAGTTTTTTTGTGTGACAGTGGTGCAGTGACTCAAGCTGGTCCTAGTGTCAGTAAAAGACAAAGAAGGGAAGTAACTCCAGATACCTGAAGTCCTTATGGAGGGGAGATTTCCCTTCCAAACAATAATCCCAACTCCATCTCCCCTTCTTCAATGTGCCAACAAGAGTCTTGAATAAAGGCGTGTAATGTTCATTATCATTAAGATTTTTGCTTTATATTTATTTCTCATTGTTTTGTGTATGTAAAACTATAGTTAATCTTTAAAAAAACATATTTGTTAATATTTTTGGGTGTCTGGGACATATTAATTGTATTTACATTAATTCCTATGGGAAATGTTACTTCGGTTTTCACCCTTTTCAGATTTAGGCCAACCATCTGCAACGGATTACGGCCACTATACAGGATAGTCACTGATGTTAGTAGACGTTTTTTATTTGTTCATCGCCCGTTTACTCTGTCCCTTTTTTCTTTGCCTACATTCACTCTGGCCTTCTCTTCAGTTATCCCCATTCTCTATTCATGTAGCATCTCACTTTTACCTACCCCCTTGGGAAGCTCTGACGGTTTGTGTCTTCTTTCCCACTGCCAGGCGCAGAAGCCCAACTGCCTATGGTTGCTTCTCACTCTCTTTTTTTCTTAACCACTTCTAATCTCATTCTTATGCCATCACAGTGTACACTGATGGTTCCAAGTCTTCTGACAGCATCAGATTTGCAGCAGTGTTTCTTGATAGCATCATGGGAGAACATTTATTATCCTCGGCTAGCATTTTTACGGCTGAATTGTGTGCACCTATCCATATTGCATCTATGCCTGTGTCGCCATTTGTGGTCGTTTCAGACTCCCTTAGTGCTTTATAGGCTATAAGAAAATTTGATACACCTCATCCCCTGGTTCTTCGTATCCACCTTTGGTTATGCCGTATCTTTAGCAAGCACAACCTTATTATTTTTTCTTGGGTCCCCAGTCATGTTGCCGTACAGGGCAATGAACAGGCAGAAACTGCTGCACGGTCAGCAGTATATGACTCCCAGTAGTGTTCCATTCACAAACTATTTTGCTGTAATTGTTACTCACCTTTGCACCCATTGGCAGCAACATTGGTCTGATCTGCTGGGAGACTACTCTCTCCCATCTTCGCATCGGCCACACTCGTCTTACTCAGGGTATCTCATGGAGAGGTGCCCTGTTCCACTCTGAGAATTGTCAGATTCCAATTTTTGTTAGCCATATTCTGTTGGACTGCCCACTCTATCAACAAGCATGCAGAATTTACCTCTGTCATCGTCACTGCTCTACTGCCCTTACTTTACCTTCCCTTCTTGCTGATGGACCTTCCTTTAACCCAGACTCTCTCGTTGACTTTTTGACAGCAGCTGATTTACTGCACAAACTCTGATGATGTTGCCTCTAGCACTCCTCACAGCCGTTTCTACCCCAATCTCTTGTTACCCTCTACCCCTGTGCCCTTCCCTGCCCTGCTGCACTGTATGACCCTTGTAGGTTTAGCGCTTCTTTTTTATTATAATAATCTATGACCCCTTAGGAAGTTAGCTCTCATTTCTTTCTCACCTGAGAGGGAGTTGGCATCTCTGGACTTTACTTCTCGCACTGAGGAACCTCATGTGCTCCTCGTGCTCCACACTCTCATCAACATTTTCCACAAGCCAACCGACAGCAGCTAGGCCTGATGATGTCCATGTCTGCAATTCAACACTTACACCCTACAGCACTCTAACCTCTTACTCTAAGGGGTTGTCCCTCTTCAATGGAAAGCTGCCAGTGTCCTGCCTTTTCAGACCATGACCTCTTTCATTACTAGTGTTTGTTAGAATGCTTAGTTAACAAACTTTTAGTA